TCCTTTTTAATCTGCTTCCTCCACCTTTCCCCTTCTCCTGCCTGCAGTAAAACCCACTCACTCTGGGTTTTCATTCCTTCTCTATTGCTATCCCTCCATTTTATCCTCTCTCTTCTTAAATCTTGTGTTTAGTAAAACCGGTTATTGCTCCCAGGATGACCACAGATTAGATTCACCCCCATTTTGGGAACCCACTTATTCCTCCCGCTCTCTTCCCTCTTAGTCCTGTGTGTGCTGATTTCTTAAAAGCAAAGACAGATGGAAGATGAGATTGGTAACAACAGGAAGTCTTGAATCCTCCTCTTTCCCCAGACAAGTCCACATCCCTCTCTATGCCTCTTCATTTTCTTTCCTACCTGGAAACCCTCTAAATCTATCCCGTATTCATGTAGGTGGAGGAAGCATTTACAAAGATTCTTACATGTTTGTGGAAAGAATGCCACACTAAGATGATGCTTCTAGGCTCATAAATCTGGTGATGCTGGGAATTAGGATCCTTGGATTCCCTTCAAGCTCCTTGAAACCGCACTCCTTCATCCAGTAGCTATTGTCTCTCTTCCCAACTCTCACAGTGTTTTGGCCCATCCAAGCATCCATCCACCATGGAGCAATCAAACATTTTTGGAACCTAACTGTGAGAAAGGCTCGGTGTGTACTAGGTACTGTGTAGTACTCAACACATTGGTCTTGTGTTGAAGTTACAACACACATGAGGAGACAGAACTGTCCTCATGGAAAAAATACCAGTACACAACACCGTTATGGAAGAACTTGTTACTCTTGAAACCCGTAGGAAGAGTAGAATTCAGATAAGTGAACAGAACAGGGAGGCAATCCAGGTGGGGCGATGACTGGATGAGAGACACTGAGACCTGAGGAATCAGGGAAGAGATGTCTGGCCGAAGCATCTCATCATCTTAGAGGGGAACAAGTAAGAAGAGAATAGTAGTTATGAGTACAAATTCTGAGTCAAGCAGACCTGGTCCAGAATCCCAACTCTTTTCATTCTCTGTGTGATCTGAGGCAAATTATTTAACCTATTTAAGCCTCCATTTACTTATCTATATACTTTATAGGCAAGGGAATAATATATGATATTAAACAGGGTAATGCTATAAAATGTTTAGTGTATTGCCTAGCACACAGCAAGTACTCAGTAAATGTTCACAATTGTAATGTTCATAAATGTAATGACAATTACTACTAGTACTAGTACTAGTGCTAGTACTGTTACAGCAACAAGTACTTACTACAATAATTACTGCTACTAATACTGCAACTACAATAAATGCTTACTACTGGCTGGGAGTGGTGGCTCACACCTATAATCCCAGCGCTTTGGAAGGCTGAAGTTTGAGGATTGCTTGAGGCCAGGAGTTCGAGACTAGCCTGGGTGATATAGTGAGACCTCATCTCTACAAAAAACACAAAACTTAGCCAGGCATCATGGCATATGCCTGTAGTTCCAGCTACTTGGGAGACTGAGGCAGAAGGATTGCTTGAGCTCAGAAGGTCGAGGCTGTGCACTCCAGCTTGGGTAACAAAGTGAGACCATGTCTTTTAAAAAAAATGGACTAGCCATGATGGCTCACGTCTGTAATCCCAGCACTTTGGGAGGCTAAGGTGAGAGGATTGCCTGAGCTCATGGATTCGAGACAAGCCTGGGCAACTTGGTGAGACCTCGTCTCTACAATAAAAAAAAAATTTAGCTGGGTGTAGTGGTACATGCCTGTATTTCCAGCTACTTGGAGGGCTGAGGCAGAAGAATCATTTGAGCCCAGCAGGTCGAGGCTGCAGTGGCCATGAACATGACACTGCACTCCAGTCTGGGCAACAGAGTGAGACACTGACTTAAAACAAAACAAACTTACATCTGCTACTACTGTAGCAGGTGGGTCTGGAAAGAAAGGTAGGAACCTGTTTGTGTGGAAGCTACTGAAAACCCATCTAAATGCAAATTCTTTTCTGAAGACATTAAAGACCATGGAAATTTTTTGGAAATGTTTCGATCTAGAAGGGGAAGATATCTCTTAGGAAGCCAACATATGTACCATGTTGCTCAGTGGGAATTAAAATGGAGCAAACCTAGAGGCAAGAAGCTACCTGGAAGCCCGTAGAAGTGTCAGGTAAGAGAAATAGTTTTGCAGTGATTTCAAAGAAAGGACTCATATGTCTTGGTGACAGCACATGTGAAGTGCCAGAGGGAAGTCTAGCTGGGTGAGTGTGTAATAGAAAGAGGAGAGACAGAGAGGAATTGGGGTTTGGAGCAAAGAAGGAATAGAATGATTACAGAGTGATACTGACAGGTGGTTCACAGTGCCAGGTGGAGCAGGGATATGGAGGAGAACACACTCCCGGTCACTGACTGGACGTGGCCATGAAAGTGACCCTGGAACTGTGAGGAGAACCGGGTATCAGGAGGGGAGGAGTCATGGGGTTCAGCAACGGTTTGGGCATCAAAGTCTCATCCTTGCCTCTCGTTCACAGGGGAACATTTCCTCTTCCCATCACTTGCGTCTCTCCTCTTCTCTTCCTCTTTCTACCTTTTCCTCAATGTTTTGAGGCTTCTCCTTCCCTGAACGCTTCCCTTCACACACCTGGTTCTTCCTTAGACGCAATAGTGCTGGTTGTGAACAACACTGAGATTTTTAGCTCTTATATTTTCTCTTTTTTGGTCTCATTGTAATGCTTTTGTTTTACTTGACTAAAATTTTATGGTCATTTATAAAATATGAGAAATATAAAATTCTTTAAAAAAGAAAAATATATCTACATTCAATCCCATTCACTGGAGTTAATCACTACTAACACTGTTAACACTTTGATCTTTCATTTCCATTTTTTCCTTTGCCTTTATAACATATTTTAACAAAATGTTTTGTAATTTTCTCATTAAGACAACAACACTACATGGTAACATAAAATTCCATATAATTAAATGTCTTTTTAGGATATGTATTTATTACTAACTAGTATTTCCTTTTATGGGGGAGCCATATTTTATTTAACAATGTCTAATAGCTGTGCATTTACATTGATTCTAGTTTATCAATATTGCAACAATGCTGTGATAAGCATCCTTAAACATACATTTTAAAAAATTCATTGTTATTATTTCCTTAAAGCAAATACCTAAGAGAAGAATAACTGGCTCAGAGACTATAAATAATTTATGAATTTGGAACATATTTTCAAGTTGTCCTCTAGAAAGGTTATACCACCAGTGATTTATCTATTTCATGAAACTCTCAGTAGTGCTACATATGACAAGTTTTTAAAAAATCTTTGTCAGTATGATAATTTTTAAAATAAATTATTCCTTATTATAATCTTAACTTGGATGATTAGTGAATTCTAGATAAGTTTGAATTATTTTTCCATAGGCAAGAAGAAGCCATGAACATTTTTAAAAGATAAGTTTTGAATCACTATACTTTTGGTGGCATCTTTTTCCATCAGGCCTTGGTGCCTATCAAAAATCTTATAATTGGCTGGGTTCGGTGGCTCAGCCTGTAATTCCAGCACTTTGGGAGGACAAGGCTAGTGGATTGCCTGAGCCTGTGGGTTCGAGACCACCCCAGGCAAAAATTAGCCGGGTGTGGCAAAAATCAGTGCGTGCTTGTAGTTCCGGCTACTTGGAAAGCTGAGGCAGAAGGATCACTGGAGCCCAGCAAGTCGACCCTGGGGTGGCCGTGAGTATGCCACTGCACTCCAGCCTAGACGACAGTGAGACTCCAACTCAAAAGAAAAAAAAAAAATCTTATAATCATAATTGTCTCAGGAAAGAATGAAGATTCATTTGTACCAGTAGGTAAATTACTAACAGTAACAGAGCGTGCTACTTGGAACCTGGGAGTGGGGTGATAGTAATGATAATATGCTTTTTCATTTGTGACTATTTTTCCTTGTGAAACTTTATATCTGGTATATTATAAGTCAATTTTATATAGAATAGTAAGAAGTACAAAATAATTGTCTTTGTTTCTAGATGATGATATTCCCTCGCATGTTATTTTTAAATCCCTTTCTTCAGTCATGATTTACACATAGCTCATTCAATGTAAAAAGACCCAAATAACACAAAGACATAAGAGGCAAAACTAGAGTATCTCTGAGACTTTTCATCTTATATTTTATCATGGAACTTTTTATACATCCACAAAGTAGAGAATAGTGTAGTGAACTCTAACAACTTATCAACATTTTCAGTAGTTACCAACAGTTTGACAATCTTACATCATATGCTCCTCCCTTCATTAACAGAGTATTTTAAGGCAAGACTAAGACATCTTTTCTTTCCATTCATTAAAAATGTGTGTTCCTTTATGCCTGATAAAAGCATATAAAAGTATATGGTGGTTGTAATCTTAATGGAGATAAAGATTTTTTTTTCTTTTGAATTGGAGTCTCACTCCATAGCCCAGACTGCTTGTTTTTCTTCACATTTGCCTTTGATTTAGTACATGAAAATTTCTTCTAACACACACTTCTCTTCCTCCAGCAATGAGCAGCCTCTCAGACCTCTGCCATAAAGAAGTATCTATTTGTTTTTATCTAAAATGATTATTCTCAACTTTACCGCCTGCCATGATTTATGCACATAGATTGGTGACGTTTATGGTCCCAGGTATTTGCCTAGGTGTTTATTTATTCATTGATTGACTCTACTAGAATTGTGGTGCCTGTGGTTCACAAGGCACTATGATGGGCATAGTAGGGGTGAAAATGAATCCTATATGAATCCTATGGACAAAGACAGTCTGGTCCAAGGGAAAAGATCCATATTCCTGTAATACACTGTAGGATGTGGTTAGGGAGATGCGTCTATGGGAGCCTTGAAAACGTTTTTATCCCTGTAGAAGGCGCTCCTAAATTGCATCTTGCAATGATACTCAACAGTGACTTCCATCAACTCAATCCTGACCCTTCAAGGAAAATGATTGAATTTTCATGATTTTGCTTGTTATGTCTGCATGGTTTCTCTCTAGGCATGCGGAGAAGATCCTATGGAACTACAAAATATCACATGGGTGTCAGAGTTTGTCCTCTTAGGGTTCTCACAGACCCAGGAGCTCCAGAAATTTCTGTTCCTAGTACTCCTATTTGTCTATGTCACCACCATTGTGGGGAACCTCCTTATCATGCTAACAGTGACTTTTGACTCCCGGCTCCACACACCCATGTACTTTCTGCTCCGAAACCTGGCTGTCATAGACCTCTGCTATTCCACAGTCACCTCCCCCAAGATGCTGGTGGACTTCTTTCATGAGACCAAGACCATCTCCTACCGGGGCTGCATGGCCCAGATCTTCTTCTTCCACCTCTTGGGAGGTGCGACTGTCTTCTTCCTCTCAGTGATGGCCTATGATCGCCTCATTGCCATCTCCCGGCCCCTCCACTATGTCACCATCATGAACACTCGACTGTGTGTGGGGCTGGTGGTGGCTGCCTGGGTGGGGGGCTTTGTTCACTCCATTGTCCAGCTGGCTCTGTTGCTCCCACTGCCTTTCTGTGGCCCCAACATCCTGGATAACTTCTACTGTGATGTCCCCCAAGTATTGAGACTTGCTTGTTCTGACATCTCCCTCTTGGAGTTCCTCATGATCTCCAACAGTGGGATGCTGGTTCTCATCTGGTTTCTCCTCCTTCTTCTCTCTTACACTGTCATCTTGGTGATGCTGAGGTCCCACTCAGGGCAGGCGAGGAGGAAGGCAGCTTCCACCTGCACCACCCATATCATTGTGGTATCTATGATCTTCATTCCCTGTATTTATATCTATACACGGCCCTTCACCCCATTCCCCATGGACAAGGCTGTGTCCATCAGCTACACGGTCATGACTCCCATGCTCAACCCCATGATCTACACTCTGAGGAACCAGGAGATGCAGGCAGCCATGAAGAGATTAGGCAAGCATCTAGTGATTTGCAGGGAGTAAATTTTAAGTAAATTGACTCTAAATGACAGATATTCTCTCTGAATTTTTGTCTTCCCATGTGAAAAATGAGTTTATATAAAGTGTGACAGATCAGAACATACTACTATTTCTTGGGGACCTATTTCTGTATCAGGTTCTATGTTAGGCACTTTCCCACTTTTATCTCATTACTTCTTATAAAACTGACAGTGAATATATTACTATTGTATTAAACAGTCTTACAAATGAGAAAACTAGAGAGAAGCGATTTGCTCAAGTGAGTGGCAGAACTTGTCCTGGAAACTAATTCCTCTGACTCCAAGTTTAGAGGCAGGAAATAGGGGTGGGATTTGAAACTCAGAGTCTCCCACAACCATGAGGGAAAACCTAGAGAGATCCTCATCTATAGATAATATGTGATGAATGGCCATTGATTTCATCTTGACTCCAGGACAGTCACATTCTTTTCTGCTTCCTACTGCATTCTCCACCATGGTATTTAGGAAGTGATGTCACTTTTAACATTGTCTAAATACTTCCCATAATGACATTTGTCCTTTGTTTCTGTTCCCTCGCTGCCAGATACTCCTTGAATAATTTTCAAATTATGCTACTTACCTGAGATGGCTTAAATGTGTCCCCTTCAAAATTCATGGCTTGGAACTTAATGGCCAATGTGATGGGATTAAGAGGTGGGACCTTCAAGAGGCGATTAGGCCATGAGGGCTTATGAATGGGATTAAGACCTTCATCAAAAGAAGCTTCATGCAGCATTAGGTTTACTTGCCCTTTAGCCTTCAGCCATGTAAGGATGCGGCGTTTCTCTCTTCTGGAGGACACGGTAACAAAGTGGCATTTTGGAAGCACAGAGCAGCCCTCACCAGACAACCCAACCTGCTAGCACATTCATCTTGGACTTTCCAAACTTCAAAACTGTGAGAGTATACATTTCTGTTCTTATAAATTACCCAGTCTTTGGCATTTTGTTAGAGCAGCACAAACAGACTAAGACATTATCCAACAATCTTTCCATCATTTGGACGGTATGGCTGAGAGGAAGGTGGGATAATATAGTTGGGGAACTATGGCCAGAGAGGGCAAGCATTCCACGTTTGTAACACTGAGTTCAGTTCCAAGGTTGCTGCCTCGTGGATGTTTTTGTTTTTCTCTTTAATCCCCCACACTGGTATGAGAGTGCCTTTAAGGCGGGGTGATGCACTATTCATCTCTAAATTCTCACAGCACTTTTAACAGCACCTGACACAGACAGGCTTTTCCACGTTTTCCTTCTTCCTGTTCTTTCCTTCTGTCGATTTCAGAATCTATTTTTTTCTGTCTCAATCTCTGTATATTTATTCCTTTCTTCTCCTTTAGGGCATGCATCATTTTGTAAAGGTGTCCAGCAATGTATAATATTGATCCAAAATTAAAAAGATAACACAAAAGATTATCCCTCCCTGCAAGCATCCCCTTCAATAAATGAAAGTCATAGGCTCTTATTGGTGTCTTTTAAAACCATCATGGCAACTCTGAGTTTGTCTGTTCTCCACTTCTGTTTCCATCTTTTCACTTCACATATTTCTCCATATCACAGTCTACCTTTGGAAATGAGAGGAGAATAAAATGGACTCGGTGTCTTATTTGATTAGTGTGGTCCCTCAGAATAGCTTTTCCATTTTCACATTAAAGTTCTTTAAATAGCTGATAATTCATTTTATAACCTCCAATTTATCTCTTCTCCAGATGCAACATTTGAATTCCTTCAGTTGTTCCCATTGTGATAAGTTTCCTGATCCCACCATCCTGATCATCTCTCATATGATGACCCCCCTCTTTAAATGTGATGCTTAACATATGACACTACTTCACTGGAGGTATGAATTCTTTAGAAAATACTGATTATCTTCTTTGAAATACACATCCATAAGGATGCTTTTGGCTGCAAGTGGCAGAATAACCAAATGATAGAGGCTTAAATAGTAATGAGGGGATTCTTATCTTACTTAAATAGAAGACTAGAAGATAAATGTCCTAGTACATTTTCTGTGGCTTATAACAGAACACCTGAAGCTGAGTAATTTATAAATAAAGTGTCTTTTTGGTTTGTTTGTTTGTTTGTTTTTACAATTCTGGAGCCTAGGAAATCCAAGAGCTTGGCTTGGTTGGCATCTGGTGAAGGCATTCTCCCTGGTAGGGATTCTACAGAGTCCTGAGGTGGCGTAGAGTATCACATGGAAGAGAGCTGAGCATACGTATAAACATGCTCACTTAGGAATCTTTTTTCCACTTCTTACAACGACATCAGTTCCACTCCTAGGATAGCCCATTAACTCATCACGAGAACAGAGTCATCATGATTCAATCAACCCCCCAAAGGTCCTACCTTTCACTATTGTCACATTGGGAATTAAGCTTCCAACATATGAAATTTGGAGACACATTTAGACCATAGCAATAAGAAATTCCAGAGTTGGTTAATTCAGTTATCCAATATTTTAGGCTTTGGAATTGGCTGCTCTGTGATTCCTTGCCTTTCCTCCCATGATGGCCACATGGATGCCAAAGCTCCTGGCATCATAGGTTTATATTCAAATAATTTACCAAGAAGGAAGAGAAGAAGCATCCGTGTATTTTTTTCTTTTTACCAAAAGAGAAAAATTTTCCTAGAGCCATCCCAGCAGAATTCTCACATGACCCAGTTGGCCAGTACTGGGTCATATGATCACCCCAGCCTGCAAAGGGGAATGGAAAGGTGAATATCTAGCTTTTTCAGCCTGGAAAACAATGGTTTGGAATGGCAATCAATAGTGTCTGCCGTATAAGTCTAAGCCTCTGGAAGTAGGAAGAGATATGAATGCCTTGGGTAAAAAAATCTTGATGATGAGATCACTCTGTCATGGATAGTGGTAATAAAATCAAATGTCTAGGGAAGCTGACAAATAACATGAATAAGTTAAGTACACCCAGTGAAAACTAAGAGGAACTGGGGAGTGCTTATCCAGGCAAAGGGGAAGTCCCACTCCTTGTCCTCTCCCTGACCCTAATTCAGAAGTTTAATATCTAAGTCTTTACAGAAAAATCAGAATAATTTTACTTAGAGATACTAAACGTCCAGATAAAGAGTCCCAGGCCATCTTCCCCAATTGGCATTCAGGGATCTTCTGGTAAAACAACTGATCTGGTAATCCTAAGAGAAGCCTACAAATTTTCAAGCCCTGCTCATGCACACAGTACTTCCAATCAGCATTCTAGTGTTTCTATTTTAAATAACAATGTTTAGCCAGAGACCACTAGACAGATGAAGAAAATTTCCAATATGGAAAACAGACACAAATAAAACGCAACTGATAAAAAAGGAATTCCAAGAAAACAGACAATTCAAGAAACAGAGGAACACTTTTAAAAGTGTTTTTAAATTAAACTTTTTTATTTCAAGATAATAGTAAATTTACCTGAAGTTATAAGAAATAATAGAGATTTTATGTACAATTTACCCAGGTTCTCCCAATGGTAACTGCTACAGACTGAATGCTTATGTCTCCCCAAAATGTATGTGTTAAAACCTAATCCCCAAAACTGGTTGACCATATGCAGAAGATTGAAACAGGACTCCTACATATCACCATACACAAAAATCAACTCTAAATGGATCAAAGACCTAAACATAAAACCTCAAACCATAAGAACCTTAGAAAATGAAGGAGACACCCCTATGGAAATTGGAACTGGCAACCAATTCCTGATCAAAACCCCAAGTATTCATGCCATAAGAGATAAGATAGATAAGTGGAACCTCATCAAACTGAAAAGCTTCTGCAAAGCAAAAGAAACCATCAAGAAAGTGGAGAGACATCCCACAAAATGGAAAAAAATATATTTGCCATCTGTATATCTGACAAAGGCCTAACATCCAGGATCTACAAGGAACTCAGACGTGCCAAAAAGAAAAAAATCAAACAGTCCCATTAAAAAGTGGGCAAAAGACATGAATAGACTTCTCAAAAGAAGATATACATGCAGCCAACAGACACATGAAAAAGTGCTCAGCCTCACTAATCATCAGAGAAATGCAAATCAAAACCACATTGAGATACCACTTAACCCCATAAAACAGCTATCATTAATAAAACAAACAACAACAGATGCTGGCAAGGATGCGGAGAAAAAGGAACGCTTCCACACCGCTGGTGGGAATGCAAACTAGTGCAGCATCTTTAGCAAACAGTGTGGTGATTTCTAAAAGAACTAGACATTGGTCTTCCATGTGAGCCAGCAATCCCCCTACTAGGAATATACACAGAGGAACTCAAATCACTCTACAAAAAAGATATCTGCACATGCATGCTTATTGCAGCTCTATTCACAATAGCAAAAACAATGGGCTCTGTCCAACAAAATTGAACTGGATTAAAAAAATGTGGTACATATATACAATGGAATATTATGCAGCCATAAAGAAGGACAAACATATGGACTTTGCAGCAACTTGGATGGATTTAGAGTCTATCATAGTCAGTGATCTATCACAGAAACAAAGAACAGAGTACCACACT